TAGAATTTGTTTGGTTGCAAAAGACCTCTAAGATCATGGAGTCCAACCATTCACCCAGCACTGCCAGGTCCACCACTAACCTGTGTCACTGTAGTTGTTGCCATTTCTTGTATGTCTATAGGTTGGCCTTTAAGTGTCTGCTTGAAATATGAGTGCAGTAAAGAGAAGCATGAATCATTAATTAAAGTAATTTGAATTAAAACAAAACAAACTAGTTATTTAGCAAGTAGATGTGAAAGGTTCTTCTGAATCTCAATACTGTTGTCTAACGTATTGTTAACATAGACTTCTGCTTCTTGTTGTCTGGTCCTTTATAGATGCTTCCTCAGGCAGGTATCTGTAGTAGTTTATTCTGTGTCCATCCTTGGTAGCACTTCCCTGGATTCAGCTGAATATGCTATCTATAATATTACAGTGTAGGACTGGAAGTGTCTTCTCTCCTCTCAGCTGAAATCTGTGATATTTCATGCTATTCTATCATTTGTCAGCACATGTGCTTTTGAGAGCATGTGCATTCAGGTGGCCTTGTGAAAACTGATGTCCAGCTGTGGTAATACAACATATTTATGTATCTAAGATATAAATACACATGGTTCCTCCTCATTCAGATTATAAGCAATATAGGTAGTTTATGAGGAAGAACTTGCAAAGCAACGTGGCACAAAATATTAAAACATTTAAGCATTAGCCTTCAGTTTAACAGTGTTGAATAATTAATTTGCATTTTCATACCAATGAAGCCAGGGAAGAGGGAACAAGAGAAGCAGGTTTTGTTTTGGGTTCCTTCTCAGATGTAAACAACTCTGTCATTGAGCTGCTGATAACTTATTTTATAAATAGGCTAACAGCCACCACCACCTCCCCTTCCTCCCACGCTGCAAACCTCAGTTAACTAGCTGAGCTGCCAATTTTTAGCTAATTTGGACAAATTTTCTAATTTGCAGCATAATAGAGGCTTCAATATTGCTATGAATGTTTGAGGATGCTCTATCCTGATTGTACAGTAAATACAGAATTTTTGGATGTGTTTTGGATGCAGTCAGAGGACACATATAATTCTACCTGCAGAACTACAGCAGTTGTTTTTTGTGCACTGCTGGGCTCACCAGCTGCTGCCTCTTGGCTGCCTGTTTGGCAAATACAACACAATGCACTGTAATTTTTGGCAAGCCAGAGTGGCTCCAGGCATAGTACACAATCCCCATGTTTGGAGCCTCTTTGAAGGAATATAATGTCTCTGAGGCCTGTCTCTACCTGTGTCTGAAAACAGTACAATTGCATCATCACCCTGTTTCCTGAACAGGGCAAAATTAGCTCAATTTTGAAAGGGAAGAGAATGAAAATGCTGATCCATGTGTGAGAGCTGCTCATGCTGTTCAATTCAGAGTGCCAGCAGGTGCTGACACTACATGCCCTGTGGGTTTCATGCTGCTAATTGTGTTTTCTTTGTATTTATCCTCCTGTCCATAGGTTGATGAAAAAACTGTGGGAGAGCCTGGCTGGCTTTATGGGAGTTTTCAAGGACATTTTGGTTGGTTTCCTTGCAATTACGTAGAGAAAATAGCAGAAGGAGAAAAATGTTTATCTCCTAAGAAGGCCTTACTTCCTCCTACAGTATCTTTATCTACTACCTCAGCTGCTTCAGAGTGAGTTTTTGTTTGTGTTAAACTTGCTTTTTGTAAATTTAGCTAATGCATAACTTGCTGTATAGTTTCATCTGCTGTTTGATTTTCAAATACAAATGTTAAAAACTTGTTGAAGAACCTACTTGAAAGTCTTAGCTTAGAAATTTCAAGTATTTGATAATCTGCTTCATATTGTATAGAATATCACAGAATGTTAGGGGTTGCAAGGGACCTCCAGAGATCATTGAGTCCAACCCCCCTGCCAGAGCAGGACCATCTAATATCAGTTTTATACATGTTAAAAAAAGGTATAAATAGAAAGTTATAAATAAATTTAAAAAAATTTTAAAAGTTATCTTTAAGAAAAGTTTCTAAATAAAGGTTAAATATGCCTGTATTCACTTTGCAGACCACTTTCACCAGGTAAACCTGCAGAAGAGTCTGAATACCAAAACATACCTTTTTCTAGCCTGAATGCTGGCACAGCCTGGCAGCAGAAATCAGCTTTCACTCGCACTGTGTCCCCCGGATCCGTTTCACCCGTTCATGGGCAGGTATGCTGTGGGAGAGGGGAGAGCTTGCTGTGTTTCAGATTCATGTCATTTCATGTGAGTGAAACTGATGTGAAGAAAAACCAAACTGCAACACAGCTTTTCTAATACTGAGTGCACTGAACAGGCTAGAGGATAAAGCAGCTAGTTTGAATGCTCCACTAGTGTGCACTGGGGTAATGCTGTATGTTTCCAGGAACCACTGAGCAAGAAGACTCATGCAGTATGTTTCATAACTCTAAAATCATTTTCCCCTGTAATTAGACACACAAGATATTTCCAAAAAATAAAAAACAGAGCTGAGAGGTTGTTCCTTAATCAACAGCTTGTATACATCAATGTTAAAAAAAAAACAAAACCAAACTATCCAGACATCACTTAAGAATGAAGTTGTTTAAACTGCAATAAAAGATACATCCATGTATGTTTGTTTGTTTTTAACACTTCCACAAATTTTGGGGTAGTGTGGTCAATCAACATCTCCATTTCTGCCTTAACAGGGGCAGCCTGTAGAGAACTTAAAAGCACAAGCACTTTGCTCGTGGACTGCAAAAAAAGATAACCACTTGAATTTTTCAAAAAATGATATCATAACTGTCCTGGAGCAGCAGGAAAACTGGTGGTTTGGGGAGGTGCATGGAGGAAGAGGTTGGTTTCCAAAATCATATGTCAAGCTCTTACCTGGGAGTGAAATCAAGAAAGAGGAGTAAGTGTGACTTTCATTTTTGGTTTTTTATTCAACAGTTTACAGAAAGAGGTGGTTTAAAGTGCAAAATTCTTGGAGTGCTTTAAAGTGCAGAATATAAATACTATTTACAATTTACACCATGCTGGTTTAGACTTCCATTATTTCATTCTGGCAAGCCAAGTAATGTTGAGCTCACTACTGTGTAAATAATCAGTCTTCAAAGGCTAAGTGCTGTGAAAAATCAGTGGTGTTTGATTATTCATCAAGTGCCAGACTGTTTTGGTTCATTATCCAGTCAGCTCTCTTGCAGTGTAGTTGTGTTCTGCCTTAGAAAGTGCCAATTTCAAAATGATCTACAAATAATGGCAAGCTTATAAAGCACATCTTGCAGAACTAGTGTATTCTCATTACTTGAAAGGATTATTATGTCTATTATAATGCTGCAAGGTAACTGTTAAGGTAACAATTCAGAGTCTGGTTACTGCTGGGATAGCTGCACCATTTGTGTGAATTGTTCTTTTCATGTATTCTGACAGAAGTTCTTAGAAATTCTCTAGAAGGAAAGAATTTAGACAAAATCTTTAATTTGTACTTCTTTTGGGTAGATAAATACTAGTAGTACCTGTCACTGTTTAACAGTCAGGGAAGTCTTTACAATTAATTGAGAGGCAATACAAATTTTGAGATAACCAAAGTGAGCTTAGTCTCATTCTAATAAATTTGTTCTTGATCAGCCTTTTACTTACTCAAACTCTTTTCTTTCTGCAGACCAGAAGCTGTTTATGCAGCTGTAAACAGAAAGCCTCATACCCAGTCTTACCCAGCAGGAGAGGGTAAGACAGCATGAAATACCACTTAATGAGGCAGTCTGTTCCTGCTTAATGGCATGGGAATAAGCTTAAATGTGTGAAGCATTTCTGAGCAGGCCCTTTAAAGCTTGCCCAAAAGATACAGTGCACATGTTGAGCTACTGCTATGAGAATTCTGAAACAGGAACTCCAGCAAAGCTTATCACTAATTCAGGTTACACATAGGCCTGGGTGTTGTTTTTGTTTTTAAGACTTCTGCTTGAGCATTAATTTATTTCTGAAAATTTAGATATGTCTCATACCCATAAGCCAAGTTCTCTTCCTCTTGTTCTCTACTGTATTTTGCTATACTGTAGAGACATGAGAAGAGACTTCTAGTCTCCTGAGTTTGGGTCATTCTCTCCTAATTAGTAGGTACTAAAACCAAATATTACTAGAGAAAAATCTGTGGGAAGCACCTTCTAAGTCTTAATCTATTGTATCTCCACATGCTTCCCCAGTTATATTTTAGTTCCACTTGTTTCTTTGCTTTTGCTGTGTTGGTGAGATAAGAATGATTTTAGTGAGGGGTGGGTGTGGAATGTAGGTGCTTTCTGTGAAACACAGAGGTGAGGTGGAATACTTAACACGAGAGGGGAGCTTTCAAGTTGTGGTCTGTAAGCCTCTGCTGATCTGCAGGATGATCATAGGATAGTAACTCTCACTGTGCCAAATCTATCTACCTGTACAAAGTCATTTGCCTGCAATCCAGAGTTGTAAGCAGGAGATGAGAGGTGATCACAATCAAGCAGGTAGGTAGGTTGCTTCACAAACATGTGAAAACACGAGCCGTGTTACGAACACATTGATGAAAGCTGATATCAAAGATACCTTTACTTCCATCTGATGTACTTTTATTCTCCTTTCTGAAACTCTTCTTTCCTTCTTTGTGTGCTGTTTGCACAGAGTATGTTGCACTTTACTCCTACTCAAGCTCTGAGCCTGGTGACTTGACTTTCACGGAAGGTGAGGAGATCCTGGTGACCCAGAAGGAAGGGGAGTGGTGGACTGGGAGCATTAATGGCAGAACTGGAATCTTCCCCTCCAACTACGTCAGACCAAAGGATCAAGAAGTAAGTTTGTGTTCTGAGAACTAATGCACAGTGCTTTTTCTCAGTTTTGTTGTGTTGCTGGCATTGATAGTGATATTTATCTTAGATAGTGATTTTAAGTAGAGGATAATGTGCTTAACAGAAAATAAAAGCCTAGGTAGCTTGAGTGCTAAATCAGTGCTCTAGCCAGTGTCACATTGTCTATTTCTGTACAGGATAGAATTTTGTTAAATATTTAACTCAAAATCAAAATCTCCACATGCTTTTCTGTCCACATGCTTAAAGTAGGTGTTAACTCTGCTGTTTTTATTTCACATTAAAAGGTGATTGTTGTGTTTTTGTAGGCTTCTGGTAATGCTGGCAAAACTGGAACAGGAAATAAGAAACCTGGTGAGTGTGTGATAACTTTTTAACATTTAGGACTGTTTCTTAATTGACCCTGAGCATTTATATTCATAGCAGTGGTTTAATGGTGGCTAATGTGCTTAGCTGCATTGTATGTACCAGGATATTTCTGTGGATCTAGCTCTTACTGTAATGAAAAAATAACAAATGCAATTAATATATTATCTTTTCAGAAATTGCTCAGGTTACTACTGCCTATGCTGCATCAGGAGCTGAACAGCTTAGTCTTGCTCCAGGACAGCTAATACTTATTCTGAAGAAAAATGCTAGTGGATGGTGGCAAGGAGAGTTGCAGGTAGTTATTGAAGGAGAAATAATTGTGATTTCATGAACAGCAGGAGGTGATTTGGGGCTTAATTCAAGAAAAGAACTAATTACAGGTGTTTTTTTTTTAAAAAGCTGGCTAGAAAGTTATTTTCATCTTGTATAAACCATACTTGGAAAAAAATTGTTTTAATTAAACTTTGGATTGCTGATGGGGTTTGGTGAGTTTTTTTGTTTGGGTGTGTTTTTGGGTCACAGAAAATAGTAAAACTGTCAATGAATACGTGCATGGGAGGGGGAAGAAGGATATTGCCAGTTAGTAAATTAATTAGGATTTAAGTGGTATAACATTAAATTGTAAAATTATTCTAGTGAAAGAACAGGAATTCTTGGAGGTTGGAGTTGGAAGCCAGCTCTTGTGAAGGTTGCTGTTCCCACTTCTCATCAATGCAAAAAGTTAAATCATGATCTTAGAATGTCTCTGTTACCTTTTTATTCAGGTGAATTTTAGCTGAGTCTGCAACATTAGCCTGAATTTGAACATGTCACTTATTGGTAACAGCATTCAGTAACATATTGGGATGGAACAGCACAACAGAAGGTTCTGTCCCCTTAATGGCACTGAGTGGGCCTTTCCTGAGGTATTCTGCAGCTGTGTGGAGTGAATGCTCTCCTTACACCTACCTTCCCTCCCCAGCAGCTAGAACAAGGCTGATCTGACAGCTCAGCATATGTTTATAAAAAGAGCTTGCTCTGCAGATACTGGAGAAGAGATCACAGTGAGCAAGCTGAGGAATTGCTGCACTGAGTTTCTGTCAATTAACAGCAGTGGAAAATTTATCCATAATATGTGCAAAAAAATACATGAATACAGAAGACAATGAATAGTCTGTATTTGGAGAAAAATAGGCCCAGTACTGCTTCAGGAAGAAGCTTCAAAGAATCCAAACCAACCAAACACAAACAAATGGAAAAACTAAACCAGCCAACAACAAAAAAAACCACACACACAAAAAGCACACTAAAACAAAAAAAATAAAGTGGGGGGTAAGGGAACTAAGAATTGTCAATTTTTGCTACTTTTAACTTCTTCTTTTGTTGTAAAAGAGCTCACTCTGCAGTTACTGCTTTCTAAAGTCTGTGCTCACTTTTACATCCCAGCTTTTTGTGCACTCTGAAGTATATTTGATTTTTCAGTGTGTGCAGAGATCATCTTCACCTGTGGGACTGAAAAATGAGGAAATTATTTTCAAAGTCTCACCTACTGTCCTAGGTAGGAAGTGGTGTCAAATACTTAGGTCAGGAGTTTCAACAGTAGCTTATGGTAATTGTTACCTGAGTTCTGGGACTCCTTGGATAATGCATCAGTGGAATGTGTAGAGCAGATTTTCAGCCCTACAACTAAATGGTGCACTGAAGTAATTGTCTGCACTTAAAAATTTTTGATTAATACATTTGTCAGAATATATTAGGGTGCAGCTTTATTTGAATTGGGTTGTTTTATCCTTTAGACAGATTTTTTTCCCTTTTGAGATATTTTTAATATTTAGTTGGAGTTATAAGCCTGACTTTTTGTCTTTTGTTGGCTAAAATGCATTACATATTTGTTACATTTTTTTCCATTCTGGAGACGTTTTGGTTTCTTAGTAGTGTAATAACCATTTTAAACATTTACAGGCAAGAGGGAAAAAGAGACAGAAAGGATGGTTTCCTGCCAGCCATGTGAAATTACTGGGTCCAAGCAGCGAAAGAACCACATCTGCTGCTCCCTCAGGTGAAAAAAAAACCAAACAAACCAGGACAAAACAACTTTATATTTAATTTAGAGTGTTTTATGTAACTGCTTCAGTTGTTCAGATACTAGTCTGAATTACATAACTGGCATAATACTGTGTTTCATGGTCATATCTGATTGTGATGTCACTGTGGAAGGTAGAGTCCTAGTCAGAATCTGGGTCACTGGACAGACCTGTCTGTTCACCTCATGCCTCTGTCCAAGAAAGGTAAAATTTCACAACTTCTGCATCAAAACAATTCTTCATAGGGTCTCTCCTGTCCTATGCCATCCTGTGCTGTCCTATACATACCTTAAAACAGAAAGTCTCAGTCATACAAAGATGTTGATATCCAGAAATCTGGGAGGATCAGCAGTCCATCAGTCATGACAGAACTTTTTAGTTTTGCTGAATGCACTGAAGATACATACTCCACTTATTTGGAAACTAGAAAAAATCTTAAAGAAAACTAGCAGTCATTGCCAAACACCTTTGGAGTTGCATGCACTGCTTATTATAAGGAGGGAGACTAAGCAGCACATTTCCACTCATGGCCATTTGAATGGCCAGGTGCAAATGAGATTATTTCACAGAAAAGGAGTTTTTTTTGGTTCTGTTCTGCATGTTTAAATTGTGCTCTTCTCCACAGCTCTGTTTGGCTTATACAACAGCTTTCTGGACAAAACTGGCCTTTGCCCAGTCTAGCAGCTCACAGTTACCCAATGCACATTTCCTCTGCCTTTGCCACGTTATTCTCACAAGTCTCAGCTATAAGATAATCAAACTCTATTTTCTGAGCCAGTAGAAGAGAGAGAAGCATACTTCACTATATTTTTAAATGTATAGAAGGTCTATAGATGCTATACTAACTGAATTGATTTGCTGTATAAGTAGACAGCTATATAAAGTGGAATTAAAGATTACTGCCTGGCCCAGTGTAAAAATAAAAGTGAGGGCAGTGCCACACCAAGATAAGATCATGTGGCATTTTTTTCTTATGTAACAGTGTATGTGAAATTGTTGTTTCTTTCCTGTGGTTATGTAAAACACTCAAACCCAATCTTAATACTTGTGTAACAGTGTTCTGCTCTGTTTGCTTTTTCTTCCTAGTGTGTCAAGTGATAGCCATGTACGATTATATGGCAAACAATGAAGATGAGCTCAGTTTCTCCAAAGGGCAGCTTATTAATGTACTGAGCAAAGATGATGCTGACTGGTGGCAAGGAGAAATCAGTGGTGTGACAGGTCTCTTCCCCTCAAACTACGTGAAGATGACCACGGATTCTGATCCAAGTCAGCAGTGTAAGCCACTTTCATTTTTTTTATTAATTGTGTTATTTTATTTCAAAGGTGCTTTGCCATTCTTCTGCTCTGTGTTTAGAATTCAGAGTTCCAGACATCAGCTGAATTTATAAGTACGTTGAATACTCTTTTAAAAAATTCTTTTAAATGGTACAAATTACTTTAATCCTTTTCTATTTAACCTACAAACAGCCAGCATCTTACCAACCAGCCAGTGTGTGATACTAAGAGTGCTAGGGTGAGCTAAAGTACTAGGTTTGGTGGGTGTTCCCCTTCCTCTAAACATGCTGATAACTACCACTGACCAGGAGTCAGTGCAGGCATACTGTGCTCAGTTAGAGAACTTGCTCAAGTTTTATGAAATACAAAATAAGTTTCTGCTGTGGTCATCTTGAACTTATATTTAAGCTATTTAACAGTTAAGTAAAAATAATCATAGAAAGGATAGGAAGAAGATTCTAGCATCAGCCAAGTGGTCTATCCTATGGTAAATACACATGTCCTGGCTCTCAGCAATCCAGCTCTCATCCAATTCTGAGCAACCAGATAGGTTAGCAGAACATCTGCTGAGCTGAAAGTTAGGAGCAGGCTGAGAGCTGAATGCTGGAGTATACACCTATCCGACGCTCAGAGTTCTGTCTGCTTTTTTGCACATAAGCACAGTAAAGGTTCCTGTTGTGTGTCCCCACACAGACCCCATTTTTTTGCCCCCTCTCCCCAGAGAAGTTGACCACCATTTTTACTCCCTCAGTTTTTCATCCTGGGGCACTGTGGTTAAACCAGCTTTTATATCAAGCCATGGCATCAGTGAGTTTGGGAACGTATCACGTTGTCAGAGTTGCTCCTTTGACATAACAAGCCTTGCTCTTTTTCCCTAGGCATCATTTGTGATTTTCCCAGTGGAAGGACACACATCCAGAAGTCTGGTTGAGGTTCACTCCTACCAGCCTATAGCTAGTGTGTAGGACCAGTTTGCACTCAAGATTTGGTCAGCATAGTTGTGTTCTTTCCAGAAGAATTCAGACTCAGTAATGAAGGTACAGCTTGGAAAGTTAAACTATTGTCCCTGGGTAGATTTTTATGGTACCTGGGCAAAGCAGAGTATGCACTATTCTTGAGGTTTTCTTTTTAGCTAAATTACATCTGTGCTCACATTTCTGGGAGCACGATTTTATTTATTTATAAATGTCTCTGGACAGCATAGCTGTGATATCAAAAGCTTCTGCATTTAGATTGAACTTAACATCCTTTTGATTAGGCATATCTAAATCCTTCAAATAAATCCTTTCAAAGTCTTCAGTTTCAAAGTCTTCAGTTTGGAAGAAACTATATAGGCTAAATCCAGATGGGCTATAAAAGTGAGATTCTGTCTGAGTATTAAAACTTTCTGAATTTTCAGAAATGATGAAGGTACCAGCCTATCACACTGTGTGTGCTGCCACTTATGTGACTGAGCATGATTAAGTGCAAGGTGTTCACATATACCACTCATTGTCCACAAAAGCAGTGATAAGTTGTCATTGGAAACTTTTGATACTATGATTAAGTTCATCTCATTGTTTGCTGATAGGTTGTTAGGCTTTTCCTCAGATTTCAGTGTTGTGAGGTCAAAATACTCCATCCACATCAAACTCTGGCTGCATGAAGAGAATTTTCCTTTGAAAGCATATTGAGAAGGGTCAGCCAGATGAGCAGCTGTGCACCAGGTCCTCTGTGCTTGGCTGTTAAACGTTTGTTTTAGAAGTAGTCTGCTATGAAGCACATCTGCTGGTGCTTAGTTAACAAAATCTGCATATTGGTGAATGACAAGTATGCTGATTTCTAAAAAAAAAAATTCTCTTGAGTATTTGAAGCAAACTTGTGCATCAGTTTTGTGCTGGGATTTGCCACTCTTTTGTGATACTAAAAACACAGGCATTTGGAAACCTCAAGAGGAATCCTGCTTAAAGTCCAGGATGTGCCCAAACCCAGTGTGGCTTGTTAGCTCAAGCTCAGAACTGCACACACATTTCAGCTGGGCTTCTGCCCTGTGGTGTCAACTCTGAGCTAGTAAGTGCTGTTAGCAGTAAGCCAGCACTGACCACTCTCCAGTAACCACAGAAATGCTTAAATATGTACTGACTGAACTTTCAAACTTCCTTGGAGTTCTTTAAAGCTTTTTTTTTCTCTTCTCTAAATATAGTACAGAAACTATCACCAGTATTTTTGAGCTCACTAAGGATTTGTCCCACAGAAATGTCAATGTGGCCCTCTAGGGACCAGTTTAGAGATAATGACAGAATATATTTTTTTAAATGCTTTGTTCTCTTCCAAAGAATTGCTCATCTTTAGTATTGTAAAGTTTCTGTTGAAGAATAGCAGTTTCTCCCACTGTCTTTTCTAGATGGTCAAATGTAGTGGGCTTTGAAAGGGAGCAGGCAGATTTGGTTTACTCAGATAGGTTTGTGGCTTAGGAAAATTCTGCTTTTCCCAAAAATGTCAATGCTGTTACATGGACCACCCTTGTGTCCAGAGTCTTTCCTGGGCCTTCCTAGTTCCAGCTGTAATGGTAAACTTCCCTAGCAAAGAAGGAACTTAGGTCAGAGAGGTTTCTTCTCTGAAATAGCTCTCTGGGCAGACTGAGCTGTGCTGAGAACTTTGCCTCTCCTCTTGGTGTAGCTGCACATCCTGGCATAGGGTCTCTGCCAGGAAAAAGAAACAAAATCAGTGAAGGGTGTCCTAGGTCTGTCAGCAGCTCTTGTAAGCACATCCAAGTCCAGGTGATTGCAGAGCACAGAATACTGGAATTGTGCTGTTGGTGACCTTGGTGATGGTTAGACTTACTCATGTTTTAATGACATTTTCATAGCCCTTATCCTAATATTTGCACAAAAGTCAGCATAAAGAGTATATAAGATATAAATACCTGTAGACTTCTGGTTTTTGTTGACTGTTTGCTCAGCTGTTCAGGGTCAGATCTTTTGTGTATTGCCAGTACCTGTCTAGGATGTGAGTACTGGGTTTTCTTCCTGTTTTTCCCAAGGGATATGTAAGGCAGTAGGTGCACAAGTCTTCCCAGTGGCCTACTCTTGAGATAGTTTTGGGTTTTGGCCAGTCTTCATCTGCCTTAAACAGTTGATCTTACAAACTTATCTTTCCTTATTTGTTGACTTTTTCAGTGAGATACCAGTTTGTCTTCTTGTCCCTGGGACCAGTCTGCACCTTGTACTTCCATTTTCTTTAGTTGAGATTTTTCTCCCCTCAGATGGAGGCAAGACATGGTCCAGCTGCATCTGCATACTTGGTTGCTGGATGTCTTTTAGTCTTCAAGGTCAGTTCATCTCTCAGGGGTGTTCTTGCTGAGACCTGGGCAGCTCAGCCAGGTGGATGTAGCTGGCTCAGTGTGCAGAGGCTTCTAGTTCCTCTTATCTGAGGTATCTCATCTCCCTTTCTGAGACTGGTGTTTCATAGACCTGAATGTTGCACCAGTTTTTTTCTACTCTAATGTACATATAGTTATTGTTTCTTTCACTCTTTTTTTCTTTTCGTAGCCCAGCTTTGCTGCAGTTCCTCAGATCCTCTATCTGTAGACTGTTCTTGACACACATATGTCAACAGTGTGAATTTCCTTAGGTATAAACTTGATGTTAATAGTAATATGACCAGCTCTACCTACTTTTTTTTCCTCCCCAAACATTACTTGTAGATGTGGCATGGTAGAGATGTGAGGCAAGTCCTGTCCTTTCAACAACAAGGATTTGTATTTCCAGAAGTTTATCTCCATGTATAAAAGAACACAAATAATTACTGACCACCACTGTCTCATGAACAAAGCTGATGGATTTTCAGGAGTGTTCACACTGAAAAAACAACTTCTGAACTGACATGCTTATGGCAGATGCATTTCTGCATCCATATGTGGACAACACATTTTAGAGTTCTCTAGTTACTGCCCAGTACCTTCTCCTTATGATGATGGAGTAAGAGCAGGTGGGATCAGCAGCTTTGAGGTGTTTGCATGTTGCAGGTCCACATTAATTTTTGAACATAGGAAGATTATTAGTTTATTCTAAGATTTTGTTCATCAGCTCCAGAATTTTACACCTTTTTTCACCAAGTATCAAATACTAAATCAGTTCTTCAGTTCATGGTGACACAGTCATTTTGTATTTCTAAAATTGTTTGGTGAATGTCAGTCAGGCTTGATAAAAGCTTCCAGGGTGAGGTCCTGGGGTCTGGAGGAGCTCTGGATTGCCCACAGGATGCGTGCAGCTGCAGCCCCTGTCATACCTCTGCCTTCACTGACTGCAGTGCCTCTTCTAGGCTCACTAGACCTTGGTTTCTGATGGATATTTTGAGTGATGTGGCACACCCTACTTCATGGACACGTGTTACTAGAGACAAAGTTCATTTCTTTCAGGCTTTGAACAGAGTTGAACGGGTTAATTTTCATGGGCTAATATGAATAAATTCCTATGGGGCTTTTTGTTGCAAGTTTGTTGATTTTTTTTTATTTATTTTATTTTCTAATGTCTTTTTACAAGTTTCTCAGGAGAAATCCTGGCTTTGTTGAAATCTCAGGGGATTTTACCATTGCTTTTAGAAAAAAATACTCCTAGAGTTGACCTTGTACTGTTGAGACTGCATAACAGGAGTCTTCCTTGGGAAGAAACTTTCTTCTTCAAGTGAATGGACAACAAGTGTTTTTCAGAGTCAGTGTTGGCTGGTCACAAGCACTTAAAACTGTGTGTGTTAATGAATGTGAAACTGCAGGAGTAGCAGCTCGTGATGTCTGTTGGCAGAAAGTGGAATGCTTGTCATTCCTTTCTGGCCTTTTTGGTAGAAAAAAAATACTCCTAGAGCTTGACCTTGTACTGTTGAGAGTGTGTAACAGGAGTCTTCCTTGGGAAGAAAACTTTCTTCTTCAAGTGAATGGACAACAAGTGTTTTTCAGAGTCAGTGTTGGCTGGTCACAAGCACTTAAAACTGTGTGTGTTAATGAATGTGAAACTGCAGGAGTAGCAGCTCGTGATGTCTGTTGGCAGAAAGTGGAATGCTTGTCATTCCTTTCTGGCCTTTTTGGTGTTGTTCTGTCTTTGTCCGTAGAACTCATATGTTTCACTCTTCAAATTTATGTTCATTTTATCCTTCTTTTTTTTTTGTTTTTTTTTGTTTTTTTTAGGACCCAATGTTGTCTTCCAGTGTGAAAGCACCTCAGAGACCCACTATCCAAGTTTGACTAGCGTGGAGGCAGGGTGGCCAGCCCTGCTCACGTGTCTGACACAAGCCTTTTGCTTCGTTTGAACGTTAGATCCAGTCAAGAAATTAGGTTTTTGTGGGTTTTCTTATCATCTGCAGTTACAGTGGATTTGTAAAAGCAGAAAGGATAGTGGGTCTTTGTGTGGCTTTCACTGCTGTTCACTCTTGTTTCCTTTAGTATTTTCCTTTGGTATTGGTAATGGCAGATCATTAGCATGCATATCAAGTTATCGTTTGCATGGTGGGATTGCAGACACACAAAGACCCACTATTGGCACAGTTTATCAAAGCTGTTTTGAATGGGCAGTTGTGTTCTTTTAATGTTGTAATGTACATACTTTGCAGAATTAAAATGCTCACTGATTACTGTTCTATTGGATTTGATTTAATCTCTTCAATATTGAGCTGTTAAAATTGGCAGCCTACAAAGCTCAGCCAGAAAACAGACCTTACCTGTCTCTGCTGCTGGTAGTCACTGTGATTACAAACATATGGTACAAGATCTTGAGATTTAGATCTGGTGCAATCCATCCAGCCTTTTAATACCCTTTTTAACTGGGGAAAGAACTATTAAGCATAGAGTGGAGGATATTTTATTATTTTGCTTCCTTCACAGTAGTACTATAGCAGGAATTCAGGTTGTTTCAGCTCGATATGTCCTATCCCTAAACAACCTCCTGCCTTTAAGTACTTAATTCTGAGAATTCATATTTGCTTTCAGTTTTAGCAAATGTGCTGGTTACTGCAGAAGGTACTTACACAGCCTCTGTGCTACTAGACT